CTCTCCTTGCTTGTCGCACCCACAAAACCCATCATAAAAAGACATGAAAAACATGATTACCAACACCCTGCGATCATAACACTACTGCTTTTTCTCCTCTCTCTGTGCCTGTGCGTGTCTGCGTGTGCTTGAGAACTTGTCCTGGGTCTAGTGTAGAGTCCAGAGGCGTGAGACCGCGTTGAAAAGCCTCGTGTACGTGTTTTCCATCTGACTTCCCGGCGTCTCGCGTTCTGGGATACCCGGAGTTTTTCCCCTTTGCAAGAATTCGTCCGCGTCATATCTAACCTCCTATTTCACCCGTTTGTTATAGTTTTTTTCTTTCTTTCTGGTTCCCCGCGTGTTGTTTTTCCACCTGTTTTCCGAAAGAGACCAAAAGCACACGTCTCTGACTCGCGGTGGGCATTCGTCGTGACGTCTCGCTCGTGTCTGATCTCGTCTCCCTCCCTCGCCTCCTTCGGCGCCGCCAAGCACCTAGCAACCCTCGCCCCTCCCCCCTGTTCCGCCCGCCCTCCTTTGCTGTGTTAGGTAAGGATCCTTGCGTAACGGGCCTTTGTCCCCAGTGTTGCTCTGCGATCCTTCTTCGCAACTTAACGTTTAACCGCAGAAGGAGCTCACGTCCTGCACAGCTCGTCAGGTTCCACTGGCAGTCGTACCTCGGCCGCTTTGGCGTTCCCACGTGTCATATCCGTTCAGGATGAGAAATTCGTTTGAAGTTCGACTGCGTTTGTTTTGAAATATAAGAAAGAAAAAAAATAGAAAAATAGAAAACGTTTAAGGTTTTTGAACCGTAATAAAAATAGTCTTTTACCTCAATTCCACACGAGTATAGCCTCAGTAAAGAGACTTCCATTTGCAAGACAAGTAACAAAAAGACAATAGGAAGATCGTCATTAGCAGTATTATCCAAAAGGCAAAGAAACACAGAAAACAAACAAAAGGAAACGAAAAAGTCATTGTTTTCCCTGTAGAACAGTCACCGCTAGAAAGGTCCGGAAAACTCAACTCAAGTTCCACTCCAACGTCTCAGTGCAGTGCCAGCCCGGGTTTCAGCGAGTGCCATCGTGACCGCGTGCCACGCTAAACCGATTAGACACCGCGCAGTGAAAGAGAGAGAGATAGATATAGAGAGAGATAATCCATAACAAATAGCGTAGTGTTTCAACCAGCACGAGAAAAGGAGAGAGGGAAATCGCGAAAGAGAGAGAAAGAGAAGGAGCGAAAGATGCTGTCCCTGCAGGAGCTACGAGAGTCCCTGAAGACGGCGGAGTACCTGGCCAGTCTCTCCCTCACCTCACGTCAAGACCGCCAGGAGGGACGTGGAGGGAAGCCGGGGAAGGAGTTCGAGAGGCATGAGGAGGAAGAGGAGGGAAGGAAGGGCACCCGGAAGCCCTCTGATGCTGTGCCCTACGTCCCTCCCAAGCAACTCCTCCTCTATCTCGTGAGGTAAGTCGCTCTTGCCCTTTTGCTCTCGGCTTCACAGAGAGATTTCATTTTTGATCTGTTTTTTATCATTTTTATTATTATTTATTTATTTTGTCTGGATTTTGATAGAGAGAGGAATATTGACAGACAGAAAGTAAGGTGGATGGACAAAGAGGAAAGCTGATAGACAGAAAAAGGTTGATGAACAGAGAGGAAGCTTGGCAAATAGGGAGGAAGGTGGATAGATAGTGAGGGAGGTGGATAGATAGAAAGGGAGGTGGACAGACTGATAGACAGAGAGGAAGGTTGATAAACAAAAAAGAAAGTTGATGGACAGAGAGGAAGGCTGATAGAGTGAGAGTAAGGTTATGTAAGATCCTAAAGAAAACTAATATTCACCATCAAATCGGCATTTGTTGATAAAATAAAACTCTTTTTGTGCTTCATTTTTACGTGAGAGTTGATAACTCAACACTTAAAGAATCTCATTTGATATTTATATTGACATTGAGTAAGAAAAAAAATCCTGTGCATATGCAATATAGTTCAAAACAACAGATCAAGGCATAAAGTGATCTGAAGAAACAAATAAAATTCCTGTCCTAAAGAAGCATGTGCACTTTTATTTTGTGTGTACGCGGTCGTTAGGATATGTGTGTATCTACATCACCGCAGGCAGTTAAGTGGTCACAGACGTACATGTTTTGACGGCCTCTGCGGTAAGACGTTAGAACGACGCACTTCTCCCCTCAAGGTTCCGCCAAGAAACGTTTCCGGGTTGGTGAGGCGGAACTAAAAGAAACGTTTTTTCTTTACTCTTACTTTTCTTTTCTTTAATATTTGTGTATAGAGTTGTTGTTTTAGATTTTTTTTTTTCTAACTTATGGCAATAAATTTCTTTTTGAAATGAGGTCAAGGTCTATTTGATTAGGTTAGATGACTTGAATAGATGAACTATACTTTATAATATTTTCTTAATGAAAAAAAAATATAAAAGGAAACTTAATCCAAACTCCCAAAATGTTCGAGCAATATAACTAACAAAAAAGAAATACAAAAAGAAAGCAAGAAAACATTT